ATAGGGATGAGGATGGCAGACTGACCGACCTTACAGGATATCCGAGACGACGCGAGCGTGGTGGGCGGGGCCACTGCTTGGCTATATAAAGCGGTCGCCGTCGACTTCGCTGCATCAGCCTCGTATCCCTCACCATGAAGGTAAAGAGTAGAAAGATATTTTTTTCTTGTATATGTTTTGTATTACTTTTTTTCAGTGAATTTCCTTATCTTTAACCTCTTGCAGCTGGCATTAGCGATATTACTGTGTGTGGGCGCGGCCGTAAGAGTGGGAGCGCAGGATGGCTCCTATATGCTGGATTCACGAGGCGTGGAGGTGGAGCAGGGACTCCAGCCTTCCCCAGAACTCTTCCAGAACCACCAGGCCTTCTCCCAAGCCTTCAAAGAACGCTCAGAAGAGATGGCCCTGCAATACAGTCTTGGCCAAGTCGAATACAACGATCCAGTTAGTATCCTACTGCCTTGTTGATATGTATAGTAGGTTTTCTCTATATCCATAAACCATTTTTTTTTATCACTTGATGTTGTCTTTAGAACCCGGAGTACGCTTGGGCTTACGAGGTCGACGCCAAATCCACCGGGGACATGAAGTCTGCCCGAGAGGAACGTCGAGGTGACGTGGTGGTGGGTCAGTACTCGGTCATGGACCCCGACGGGTCTCTGCGTGTGGTCGACTACTCGGTGGCTCCCGGCACAGGCTTCCAGGCCACCGTCCGCAAGGAGTACACGGGCGAGGCTTTCCAGGGACAGGAGCAGAGACTGCAGGCTCAGGCCAAGCAGTACAGTGCTATCCAACAGGGAAGCAACTACCAACAGAACCGCAACCAGTACCAGCAGAACAGTGGCCAGTATTCACAGAACCGCAACCAGTACCAAGAGAACCGTGGCCAGTACTCACAGAACTACAATCAAAACCAACAGAACCGTAACCAGTACCAATACTCAGAAAATCGCAACCAGAACCTGGAAAATAGGAGACAATATTCTCAGAACCGCAATCAGTATCAACAAAACCGCAATCAGTACTCCCAGTACAGCAACGAGTACCAACAGAACCGCTATCAGAACCAGCAGAACAACGAGTACCAGCTAAACCCTATTCCGTATACTCGAAACCTCAACGAGTACCAACAGGACCGCAATCAGTACCAGAAGAATAGTTATCAATTTTCACAGAACCGTAATCAATACTCCCAGAATTTAAATGAATACCAGAACCGCAACCAATACCAACAGAACCGTAACCAGTTCCAGCAGAACCGCAACCAGTTCCAGCAGAGCCTCAACCAGTACCAGCAGAACCGCAACCAGTTCCAGCAGAACCGCAACCAGTACCAGCAGGACCGCAACCAGTTCAAGTCCAGCAGAACCGCAACCAGTTCCAGCAGAGCCTCAACCAGTACCAGCAGAACCGCAACCAGTTCCAGCAGAACCGCAACCAGTACCAGCAGGACCGCAACCAGTTCCAGCAGAACCGCAACCAGTACCAACAGAACCGCAACCAGTTTCAGCAGAACCGCAACCAGTACCAACAGAACCGCAACCAGTACCAGCAGAACAGCAACCAGTTCCAGCAGAACCGCAACCAGTTCCAGCAGAACCGCAACCAGTACCAGCAGAACTATGACCAAAGCCTTTCCAGCCGCAACGACGTCAGGTACAACTTCCAGCGTTATGGAACCAACCGCTTCAATCAGAACCTGAACCGTCCTTCGCCCAGCCTCTACAGCCAGAACCAAAACTACCTTCTAACCCGCTATGGATCCGCTTCTCAGAACCAGTACAGCAACCAGTACAACAACCGCGTCTACAACCAGTACAGCGCCCAAGTGAACAGGAACCAGCAGAACCAAGGTTACTCTCCCGTCAGCGTGGTTCTCGCTTCCTCAAGGAACTAACAAGCGAACCGAATTGCCAACGGACTTCCGAGACAACGAACCGTAAAAAGCGTTCACAATGGCTCAAAATGGTTCTCTTGGTGTTGGGCAAAAAACTTTGAACTTCTTCAAAATAAATAACTTCTTTTTTATGATTTGTTTTCTTTTCTTTTGGCCATACCGAAGATACACTGCACACACACATACACGTATATAAATTGATTTATATATATTCATGTATGAAGATAGATAAATGTATTTATATGTAAATATGTACATGCACATATATATATATGTCTGTATATGTATGAACATACATATACATATATATTTGTATGTATATATATATGTGCATACACAAATATATACGCATATATATGTAGATGTGTTATATATATATCATATATACAAATATATATGTGTGTGTGTGTATGATAAACATATAGATATAGATAAAGATAAAAAGACAAACTAATAGATAAAGAGAGACAGATCTACACGTATATGTATATATATGCGTGCGTGTTGCCCTTCCTCTCTCTTCCATACCACCTCTTCTCCCTTTCCAGCTGGATTCCGAAACTGTAGTCTCACTTTCAATAAATCTAGTTTTTACATTGTGGGTTTTTCTACTATATATTTCTTCTTACAAGATATCAAGGAAATGATAATGATCAAGAACATTGCAACTTCTAACAGTTTTACCCTCATGCTAAAGTTACCTGTATGATGAGGTGCAAACAATTCTTTATATTGTATCTAACATGTTATGACCTGGAGTTCATATTCGTATATATTAGAAGACATAAAGATAACTCTGTAATGCCCTTTGGCCGTAGACGATTGCAGTCGAATCCAAATAAAAAAAAGCTTGCTACTGATTTCAATCTCTGAAAGTATATCAGATCCGCGACCGTAGTTAAATAGAGGTTATTGCTATCCCCGAGATGGTGTTGCCAGGTGAGTCAGTGCTGGAGTTTTAACTTTATCAGTACAGTATACCCTTTCAGGATTCGTGCTGGAGAAAGTAAACAAAAAGCAGGGAAGGACAAGAAAACATGAATATGCCGAAGGCCTGAATAAAACAAGACAGCCAAAAGGCCCTCAGCATAGTCGTGTGTGTTCTTGTTCCTCCCTTCGTTATTTTGTTTACTGTGCACCCGGAGTCTCGCAGGATTAAATTCGACTGTAGAATAAAATGAAACTGATTTATCCAGGCATTGAGAGAGATGATACATTTCTTCATTACAACTGCGCTCCGTAGATGGTACTACCTTGGAAATACGTGGGTGAGACACAAAAATTACAATAAAAAATATCATTGTGGAAACTCTATTATTAGTAGTATTTCCCGCTAGATATTTGTAAGAACGTCAGCCTTAACGCTATGTTGCGGAATAAAAGAATAAAAGTTACACTCAATAAACATATCAAGTGTTATTCTAAACTCTAACACCCAGAATGTGATGCAAAATACCAGGCATAAAGGGTTTAACACTGAAATAAGAAGACCAACAAACAGCAAGCATAGCAGATCACGAGAACTGTCTTTATGTTGGCATTAAAAGGATGGAAGTGTTACTTATAAAATCATCCTTAGTACAGAAGCAGCGGGTTACGTTTAGGACCATCATTAGGATCAGCTTTTTCAAAATGGAAAGATTAAATTTCATTCATTCGAAATTCATGGCTATCCACTTGCGAGATTTCTTCGGTGCTGTGAAAGAATCGACTTGTATTTTTAAAAGATAAAACCGTCGTTTTGAATTTATGACATTCATTCATGGCGATGACCACTCACATATACTCGTTTATCTACACATATATATACATAGACACAAGGGCACACACAAACACACTCATGCACATAAATAAAAAACACTCATGCACACTTTCATACACATATACATATATATGTATATATATGTATGTGTATGTGTTGCCATGGGTTTTATGACAAAATGGGTCTGGAAAAGTTTTCACCTTGCTTTGGTCTACTCTTTATATGTAGATTATATTCTGTCACTTATTATTATTATTTTTTTTTTTTCTTTTAAGATAAAAGAACAGCAACTGTCGTTTCGAATGTATGACATCCATTCTTGTCGATGGCCTCTCATATATACTCGTTTATTTATCTATATATATACACATAGACACAAGTGCCCATACAAACACACACTCATACACATACATAAAAACACGCATGCACACATACGTATACATATATACATATATGTATATATGTGTGTGTATGTGTTGCCATGAGTTTTACGAAAGCATGGGTCTGGTAAAGTTTTCACTTTGCTTTGATTCCTTCTTTATTTGTAGATTATAATCTGTCACTTAGAACGTTTAATAAACAAATTTCAAATGAAATCTGAATTGCAATCGATGTTCTTCAAGGAGCAATGTCCTTGCTATGAAGACAGACGATAGGGATGAGGATGGCAGACTGACCGACCTTGCAGGATATCTGAGGCGACGCGAGCGTGGTGGGCGGGGCCACTGCTTGGCTATATAAGGTGGTCGCCGTCGACTTCGCTGCATCAGCCTCGCATTCCTCACCATGAAGGTAAAAAGTAGACATTTCTTTCTTTTCCCTGTTCTGTATAACTTATAATTCGATGATCTGATTCTAATTTTATACGCCACGCCTCGTATCCCTCACCATGAAGGTAAAGAGTAGAAAGATATTTTTTTCTTGTCTATGTTTTGTATTACTTTTATTTCAGTGAATTTCCTTATCTTTAACCTTTTGCAGCTGGCATTAGCGATATTACTGTGTATGGGCGCGGCCGTAAGAGTGAGAGCGCAGGATGGCTCCTATATGCTGGATTCACGAGGCGTGGAGGTGGAGCAGGGACTCCAGCTTTCCCCAGAACTCTTCCAGAACCACCAGGCCTTCTCCCAAGCCTTCAAAGAACGCTCTGAGGAGATGGCCCTGCAATACAGTCTTGGCCAAGTCGAATACAACGATCCAGTTAGTATCCTACTGCCTTGTTGATATGTATAGTAGGTTTTCTCTATATCCATAAACCATTTTTTTTTATCACTTGATGTTGTCTTCAGAACCCGGAGTACGCTTGGGCTTTATGAGGTCGACGCCAAATCCACCGGGGACATGAAGTCTGCCCGAGAGGAACGTCGAGGTGACGTGGTGGTGGGTCAGTACTCTGTCATGGACCCCGACGGGTCTCTGCGTGTGGTCGACTACTCGGTGGCTCCCGGCACAGGCTTCCAGGCCACCGTCCGCAAGGAGTACACGGGCGAGGCTTTCCAGGGACAGGAGCAGAGACTGCAGGCTCAGGCCAAGCAAGTACAGTGCTATCCAACAGGGAAGCAACTACCAACAGAACCGCAACCAGTACCAGCAGAACCGTGGCCAGTACTCAACTACATGAGTACCAACAGAATCGCAACCAGTACCAGCAGAACCGTGGCCAGTACTCACAGAACTACAATCAAAACCAACAGAACCGTAACCAGTACCAGTACTCAGAAAATCGCAACCAGAACCTGGAAAATAGGAGACAATATTCTCAGAACCGCAATCAGTATCAACAAAACCGCAATCAGTACTCCCAGTACAGCAACGAGTACCAACAGAACCGCTATCAGAACCAGCAGAACAACGAGTACCAGCTAAACCCTATTCCGTATACTCGAAACCTCAACGAGTACCAACAGGACCGCAATCAGTACCAGAAGAATAGTTATCAATTTTCACAGAACCGTAATCAATACTCCCAGAATTTAAATGAATACCAGAACCGCAACCAATACCAACAGAACCGTAACCAGTTCCAGCAGAACCGCAACCAGTTCCAGCAAAGCCTCAACCAGTACCAGCAGAACCAACCAGTCCAGAACCAACCAGTTCCAGCAGAACCTCAACCAGTACCAGCAGAACCGCAACCAGTTCCAGCAGGACCGCAACCAGTTCCAGCAGAACCGCAACCAGTACCAGCAGAACCGCAACCAGTTCCAGCAGAACCGCAACCAGTACCAACAGAACCGCAACCAGTTCCAGCAGAACCGCAACCAGTTCCAGCAGAACCGCAACCAGTACCAGCAGAACTATGACCAAAGCCTTTCCAGCCGCAACGACGTCAGGTACAACTTCCAGCGTTATGGAACCAACCGCTTCACTCAGAACCTGAACCGTCCTTCGCCCAGCCTCTACAGCCAGAACCAAAACTACCTTCTGACCCGCTATGGATCCGCTTCTCAGAACCAGTACAGCAACCAGTACAACAACCGCGTCTACAACCAGTACAGCGCCCAAGTGAACAGGAACCAGCAGAACCAAGGTTACTCTCCCGTCAGCGTGGTTCTCGCTTCCTCAAGGAACTAACACGCGAACCGAATTGCCAACGGACTTCCGAGACAACGAACCGTAAAAAGCGTTCACAATGGCTCAAAATGGTTCTCTTGGTGTTGGGCAAAAAACTTTGAACTTCTTCAAAATAAATAACTTCTTTTTTATGATTTGTTTTTTTTTTTCTTTTGGCCATACCGAAGATACACTGCACACACACATACACGTATATAAATTGATTTATATATATTCATGTATGAAGATAGATAAATGTATTTATATGTAGATATGTACATGCACATATATATATATGTGTGTGTATATGTATGAACATACATATACGTATATATTTGTATGTATATATATGTGCATACACAAATATATACGCATATATATGTAGATGTGTTATATATATATCATATATGCAAATATATATGTGGGTGTGTGTATGATAAACATATAGATATAGATAAAGATAAAAAGACAAACTAATAGATAAAGAGAGACAGATCTACACGTATATGTATATATATGCGTGCGTGTTGCCCTTCCTCTCTCTTCCATACCACCTCTTCTCCCTTTCCAGCTGGATTCCGAAACTGTAGTCTCACTTTCAATAAATCTAGTTTTTACATTGTGTGTTTTTCTACTATATATTTCTTCTTACAAGATATCAAGGAAATGATAATGATCAAGAACATTGCAACTTCTAACAGTTTTACCCTCATGCTAAAGTTACCTGTATGATGAGGTGCAAACAATTCTTTATATTTTATCTAACATGTCATGACCTGGAGTTCATATTCATATATATTAGAAGACATAAAGATAACTCTGTAATGCCCTTTGGCCGTAGACGATTGCAGTCGAATCCAAATCAAAAAAAGCTTGCTACTGATTTCAATCTCTGAAAGTATATCAGATCCGCGACCGTAGTTAAATAAAGGTTATTGCTATCCCCGAGATGGTGTTGCCAGGTGAGTCAGTGCTGGAGTTTTAACTTGATCAGTACAGTATACCCTTTCAGGATTCGTGCTGGAGAAAGTAAACAAAAAGTAGGGAAGGACAAGAAAACATGAATATGCCGAAGACCTGAATAAAACAAGACAGCCAAAAGGCCCTCAGCATAGCCGCGTGTGTTCTTGTTCCTCCCTTCGTTATTTTGTTTACTGTGCACCCGGAGTCGCGCAGGATTAAATTCGACTGTAGAATAAAACGAAACTGATTTATCTTGGCATTGAGAGAGGTGATACATTTCTTCATTACAACTGCGCTCCGTAGATGGTACTACCTTGGAAATACGTGGGTGAGACACAAAAATTACAATAAAAAATATCATTGTGGAAACTCTATTATTAGTAGTATTTCCCGCTAGATATTTGTAAGAACGTCAGCCTTAACGCTATGTTGCGGAATAAAAGAATAAAAGTTACACTCAATAAACATATCAAGTGTTATTCTAACCTCTAACACCCAGAATGTGATGCAAAATACCAGGCATAAAGGGTTTAACACTGAAATAAGAAGACCAACAAACAGCAAGCATAGCAGATCACGAGAACTGTCTTTATGTTGGCATAAAAGGGATGGAAGTGTTACTTATAAAATCATCCTTAGTACAGAAGCATCGGGTTACGTTTAGGACCATCATTAGGATCAGTAAACTTTAAAACGTAGTAGCTTTTTCAAAATGGAAAGATTAAATTTCATTCATTCGAAATTCATGGCTGTCCACTTGTGAGATTTCTTCGGCGCTGTGAAAGAATCGACTTGTACTTTTAAAAGATAAAACCGTCGTTTTGAATTTATGACATTCATTCATGGCGATGACCACTCACATATACTCGTTTATCTACATATATATATACATAGACACAAGGGCACACACAAACACACTCATGCACATAAATAAAAAACACTCATGCACACTTTCATACACATACATATATATGTATATATGTGTATGTGTATGTGTTGCCATGGGTTTTATGACAAAATGGGTCTGGAAAAGTTTTTACCTTGCTTTGGTCTACTCTTTATATGTAGATTATATTCTGTCACTTATTTATTTATTTATTTTTTTTTTAAGATAAAAGAACAGCAACTGTCGTTTCAAATGTATGACATTCATTCTTGTCGATGGCCTCTCATATATACTCGTTTATTTATCTATATATATACACATAGACACAAGTGCCCATGCAAACACACTCATACACATACATAAAAACACGCATGCACTCATACGTATATATATATATATATACATATATGTTTATATGTATATATGTGTGTATGTGTTGCCATGGGTTTTATGAAAGCATGGGTCTGGTAAAGTTTTCACTTTACTTTGATTCCTTCTTTATTTGTAGATTATATTCTGTCACTTAGAACGTTTAATAAACAAATTTCAAATGAAATCTGAATTGCAATCGATGTTCTTCAAGGAGCAATGTCCTTGCTATGAAGACAGACGATAGGGATGAGGATGGCAGACTGACCGACCTTACAGGATATCTGAGGCGACGCGAGCGTGGTGGGCGGGGCCACTGCTTGGCTATATAAAGCGGTCGCCGTCGACTTCACTGCATCAGCCTCGTACTCCTCACCATGAAGGTAAAAAGTAGATATTTCTTTCTTTTCCCTGTTCTGTATAACTTATAATTCGATGATCTGATTCTAATTTTATACGCCACGCCTCGTATCCCTCACCATGAAGGTAAAGAGTAGAGATATATTTTTTTCTTGTCTATGTTTGTATTACTTTTATTTCAGTGAATTTCCTTATCTTTAACCTCTTGCAGCTGGCATTGGCGATATTACTGTGTGTGGGCGCTGTCACACGGGTGGGAGCGCAGGATGGCTCCTATATGCTGGATTCGCGAGGCGTGGAGGTGGAGCAGGGACTCCAGCCTTCCCCAGAACTCTTCCAGAACCACCAGGCCTTCTCCCAAGCCTTCAAAGAACGCTCAGAAGAGATGGCCCTGCAATACAGTCTTGGCCAAGTCGAATACAACGATCCAGTTAGTATCCTACTGCCTTGTTGATATGTATAGTAGATTTTCTCTAGATCCATAAACCATTTTTTTTATCACTTGATGTCTTCAGAACCCGGAGTACGCTTGGGCTTACGAGGTCGACGCCAAATCCACCGGGGACATGAAGTCTGCCCGAGAGGAACGTCGAGGTGATGTGGTGGTGGGTCAGTACTCGGTCATGGACCCCGACGGGTCTCTGCGTGTGGTCGACTACTCGGTGGCTCCCGGCACAGGCTTCCAGGCCACCGTCCGCAAGGAGTACACGGGCGAGGCTTTCCAGGGACAGGAGCAGAGACTGCAGGCTCAGGCCAAGCAGTACAGTGCTATCCAACAGGGAAGCAACTACCAACAGAACCGCAACCAGTACCAGCAGAACAGTGGCCAGTACTCCCAGAACTACAATGAGTACCAACAAAATCGCACAGTACCAGCAGAACCGTGGCCAGTATCCACAGAACCGCAACCAGTACCAAGAGAACCGTGGCCAGTACTCACAGATCTACAATCAAAACCAACAGAACCGTAACCAGTACCAGTACTCACAAAATCGCAACCAGAACCTGGAAAATAGGAGACAATATTCTCAGAACCGCAATCAGTATCAACAAAACCGCAATCAGTACTCCCAGTACAGCAACGAGTACCAACAGAACCGCTATCAGAACCAGCAGAACAACGAGTTCCAGCTAAACCCTATTCAGTATACTCGGAACCTCAACGAGTACCAACAGGACCGCAATCAGTACCAGAAGAATAGTTATCAATTTTCACAGAACCGTAATCAATACTCCCAGAATTTAAATGAATACCAGAACCGCAACCAATACCAACAGAACCGTAACCAGTTCCAGCAGAACCGCAACCAGTTCCAGCAGAACCGCAACCAGTTCCAGCAGAATCTCAACCAGTACCAGCAGAACCGCAACCAGTTCCAGCAGAACCTCAACCAGTATCAACAGAACCGCAACCAGTTCCAGCAGAACCGCAACCAGTATCAACAGAACCGCAACCAGTTCCAGCAGAACCGCAACCAGTTCCAGCAGAACCGCAACCAGTACCAACAGAACCGCAACCAGTTCCAGCAGAACCGCAACCAGTACCAGCAGAACTATGACCAAAGCCTTTCCAGCCGCAACGACGTCAGGTACAACTTCCAGCGTTATGGAACCAACCGCTTCACTCAGAACCTGAACCGTCCTTCGCCCAGCCTCTACAGCCAGAACCAAAACTACCTTCTGACCCGCTATGGATCCGCTTCTCAGAACCAGTACAGCAACCAGTACAACAACCGCGTCTACAACCAGTACAGCGCCCAAGTGAACAGGAACCAGCAGAACCAAGGTTACTCTCCCGTCAGCGTGGTTCTCGCTTCCTCAAGGAACTAACAAGCGAACCGAATTGCCAACGGACTTCCTAGACAACGAACCGTAAAAGGCGTTCACAATGGCTTCAAAACGGTTCTCTTGGTGTTGGAAAAAAACATTTGGAAACTTTTACAAAATAAATAACTCTTTTTTATGGATTGTTTTCTTTTCTTTTGTGCATACACGTAAGATACACTGCACGCACACACCATATACATGCACACACACATTACACAGTACTATAAAATTTGATTTATATAGTGTATGTGTTGCCATGGGTTTTATGAAAGCATGGGTCTGGTAAAGTTTTCACTTTACTTTGATTCCTTCTTTATTTGTAGATTATATTCTGTCACTTATTTTTTTTTTTTTTTAAGATAAAAGAACAGCAACTGTCGTTTCGAATGTATGACATCCATTCTTGTCGATGGCCTCTCATATATACTCGTTTATTTATCTATATATATACACATAGACACAAGTGCCCATACAAACACACACTCATACACATACATAAAAACACGCATGCACACATACGTATACATATATACATATATGTTTATATGTATATATGTATATGTGTATGTGTTGCCATGGGTTTTATGAAAGCATGGGTCTGGTAAAGTTTTCACTTTGCTTTGATTCCTTCTTTATTTGTAGATTATATTCTGTCACTTATTTTTTTTTTTTTTTAAGATAAAAGAACAGCAACTGTCGTTTCGAATGTATGACATCCATTCTTGTCGATGGCCTCTCATATATACTCGTTTATTTATCTATATATATACACATAGACACAAGTGCCCATACAAACACACACTCATACACATACATAAATTGTTTTATATATATTCATGTATGAAGATAGATAAATGTATTTATATGTATATATGTGTATGTGTATGTGTTGCCATGGGTTTTATGAAAGCATAGATCAGGAAAAGTTTTCACCTTGCTTTGGTCTACTCTTTATATGTAGATTATATTCTGTCACTTAGAACGTTTAATAAACAAATTTCAAATGAAATCTGAATTGCAATCGATGTTCTTCAAGGAGCAATGTCCTTGCTATGAAGACAGACGATAGGGATGAGGATGGCAGACTGACCGACCTTACAGGATATCCGAGGCAACGCGAGCGTGGTGGGCGGGGCCACTGCTTGGCTATATAAAGCGGTCGCCGTCGACTTCACTGCATCAGCCTCGTACTCCTCACCATGAAGGTAAAGAGTAGAGATATATTTTTTTCTTGTCTATGTTTGTATTACTTTTATTTCAGTGAATTTCCTTATCTTTAACCTTTTGCAGCTGGCATTAGCGATATTACTGTGTGTGGGCGCGCCGTAAGAGTGGGAGCGCAGGATGGCTCCTATGTGCTGGATTCACGAGGCGTGGAGGTGGAGCAGGGACTCCAGCCTTCCCCAGAAACTCTTCCAGAACCACCAGGCCTTCTCCCAAGCCTTCAAAGAACGCTCTGAAGAGATGGCCCTGCAATACAGTCCTTGGCCAAGTCGAATACAATGATCCAGTTAGTATCCTACTGCTTGTTGATATGTATAGTAAGATTTTCTTATATTCATGAGGACAGTAGTAGTAGTTTTTTTTCTTTTTATCACTTGTTGTTGTCTTCAGAACCCGGAGTACGCTTGGGCTTACGAGGTCGACGCCAAATCCACCGGGACATGAAGTCTGCCCGAGAGGAACGTCGAGGTGACGTGGTGGTGGGTCAGTACTCTGGTCATGGACCCCGATGGGTCTCTGCGCGTGGTCGACTACTCGGTAGCTCCCGGCACAGGCTTCCAGGCCACCGTCCGCAAGGAGTACACGGGAGCGAGGCTTTCCAGGGACAGGAGCAGAGACTGCAGGCTCAGGCCAAGCAGTACAGTTGCTATCCAACAGGGAAGGCAACTACCAACAGAACCGCAACCAGTTCAGCAGAACCGCAACCAGTTCAGCAGAACCGCAACCAGTTCAGCAGAACCGCAACCAGTTCCAGCAGAACCGCAACCAGTACCAACAGAACCGCAACCAGTACCAACAGAACCGCAACCAGTACCAACAGAACCGCAACCAGTTCAGCAGAACCGCAACCAGTTCAGCAGAACCGCAACCAGTTCAGCAGAACCGCAACCAGTTCAGCAGAACCGCAACCAGTACCAACAGAACCGCAACCAGTACCAACAGAACCGCAACCAGTACCAACAGAACCGCAACCAGTTCAGCAGAACCGCAACCAGTACCAACAGAACCGCAACCAGTTCAGCAGAACCGCAACCAGTTCCAGCAGAACCGCAACAGTTCCAGCAGAACCGCAACAGTTCCAGCAGAACCGCAACAGTTCCAGCAGAACCGCAACAGTTCCAGCAGAACCGCAACAGTTCCAGCAGAACCGCAACCAGTTCCAGCAGAACCGCAACCAGTTCCAGCAGAACCTCAACCAGTACAAGCAGGACCGCAACCAGTTCCAGCAGAACCGCAACCAGTTCCAGCAGAACCGCAACCAGTTCCAGCAGAACCGCAACCAGTACCAACAGAACCGCAACCAGTTCCAGCAGAACCGCAACCAGTACCAACAGAACCGCAACCAGTACCAGCAGAACCGTGGCCAGTACTCACAGAACTACAATCAAAACCAACAGAACCGTAACCAGTTCCAGCAGAACCGCAACCAGTTCAGCAGAACCGCAACCAGTACCAACAGAACCGCAACCAGTACCAACAGAACCGCAACCAGTACCAACAGAACCGCAACCAGTTCAGCAGAACCGCAACAGTTCCAGCAGAACAGCAACCAGTTCCAGCAGAACCGCAACAGTTCCAGCAGAACCGCAACAGTTCCAGCAGAACCGCAACCAGTTCAGCAGAACCGCAACCAGTTCCAGCAGAACCGCAACCAGTTCCAGCAGAACCGCAACAGTTCCAGCAGAACAGCAACCAGTTCCAGCAGAACCGCAACCAGTTCAGCAGAACCGCAACCAGTTCAGCAGAACCGCAACCAGTTCAGCAGAACCGCAACCAGTTCCAGCAGAACCGCAACCAGTACCAGCAGAACCGCAACCAGTACCAGCAGAACCGCAACCAGTACCAGCAGAACCGCAACCAGTTCCAGCAGAACCGCAACCAGTTCAGCAGAACCGCAACCAGTTCAGCAGAACCGCAACAGTTCCAGCAGAACAGCAACCAGTTCCAGCAGAACCGCAACCAGTTCAGCAGAACCGCAACCAGTTCAGCAGAACCGCAACCAGTACCAACAGAACCGCAACCAGTTCAGCAGAACCGCAACCAGTTCAGCAGAACCGCAACCAGTTCCAGCAGAACCGCAACCAGTTCAGCAGAACCGCAACAGTTCCAGCAGAACCGCAACCAGTTCCAGCAGAACCGCAACCAGTACCAGCAGAACCGCAACCAGTTCAGCAGAACCGCAACCAGTTCAGCAGAACCGCAACCAGTTCCAGCAGAACCGCAACCAGTTCCAGCAGAACCGCAACCAGTTCAGCAGAACCGCAACAGTTCCAGCAGAACCTCAACCAGTACAAGCAGGACCGCAACCAGTTCCAGCAGAACCTCAACCAGTACAAGCAGGACCGCAACCAGTTCCAGCAGAACCTCAACCAGTACAAGCAGGACCGCAACCAGTTCCAGCAGAACCTCAACCAGTACAAGCAGGACCGCAACCAGTTCCAGCAGAACCGCAACCAGTTCAGCAGAACCGCAACCAGTTCCAGCAGAACCGCAACCAGTTCCAGCAGAACCGCAACCAGTTCCAGCAGAACCGCAACCAGTTCAGCAGAACCGCAACCAGTTCAGCAGAACCGCAACCAGTTCCAGCAGAACAGCAACCAGTTCCAGCAGAACCGCAACCAGTTCAGCAGAACCGCAACCAGTTCAGCAGAACCGCAACCAGTTCCAGCAGAACCGCAACCAGTTCAGCAGAACCGCAACCAGTTCCAGCAGAACCGCAACCAGTTCCAGCAGAACCGCAACCAGTTCAGCAGAACCGCAACCAGTTCAGCAGAACCGCAACCAGTTCAGCAGAACCGCAACCAGTTCCAGCAGAACCTCAACCAGTACAAGCAGGACCGCAACCAGTTCCAGCAGAACGCAACCAGTTCCAGCAGAACCGCAACAGTTCCAGCAGAACAGCAACCAGTTCCAGCAGAACCGCAACAGTTCCAGCAGAACCGCAACCAGTTCCAGCAGAACCGCAACCAGTACCAACAGAACCGCAACCAGTTCCAGCAGAACAGCAACCAGTTCCAGCAGAACCGCAACCAGTTCAGCAGAACCGCAACCAGTACCAACAGAACCGCAACCAGTTCAGCAGAACCGCAACCAGTACCAGCAGAACCGCAACCAGTTCAGCAGAACCGCAACCAGTACCAGCAGAACCGCAACAGTTCCAGCAGAACCTCAACCAGTACCAGCAGAACCGCAACCAGTACCAGCAGAACAGTGGCCAGTACTCCCAGAACTACAATGAGTACCAACAGAATCGCAACCAGTACCAGCAGAACCGTGGCCAGTACTCCCAGAACCGCAACCAGTACCATGAGAACCGTGGCCAGTACTCACAGAAATACAATCAAAACCAACAGAACCGTAACCAGTACCAGTACTCACAAAATCGCAACCAGAACCTGGAAAATAGGAGACAATATTCTCAGAACCGCAATCAGTATCAACAATACCGCAATCAGTACTCCCAGTACAGCAACGAGTACCAACAGAACCGCTATCAGAACCAGCAGAACAACGAGTACCAGCTAAACCCTATTCAGTATACTCGAAACCTCAACGAGTACCAACAGGACCGCAATCAGTACCAAAGAATAGTTATCAATTTTCACAGAACCGTAATCAATACTCCCAGAATTTAAATGAATACCAGAACCGCAACCAATACCAACAGAACCGTAACCAGTTCCAGCAGAACCGCAACCAGTTCCAGCAGAGCCTCAACCAGTACCAGCAGAACCGCAACCAGTTCCAGCAGAACCTCAACCAGTACCAGCAGGACCGCAACCAGTTCCAGCAGAACCGCAACCAGTACCAACAGAACCGCAACCAGTTCCAGCAGAACAGCAACCAGTTCCAGCAGAACCGCAACCAGTACCAACAGAACCGCAACCAGTTCCAGCAGAACAGCAACCAGTTCCAGCAGAACCGCAACCAGTTCCAGCAGAACTATGACCAAAGCCTTTCCAGCCGCAACGACGTCAGGTACAACTTCCAGCGTTATGGAACCAACCGTTTCACTCAGAACCTGAACCGTCCTTCGCCCAGCCTCTACAGCCAGAACCAAAACTACCTTCTGACCCGCTATGGATCCGCTTCTCAGAACCAGTACAGCAACCAGTACAACAACCGCGTCTACAACCAGTACAGCGCCCAAGTGAACAGGAACCAGCAGAACCAAGGTTACTCTCCCGTCAGCGTGGTTCTCGCTTCCTCAAGGAACTAACAAGCGAACCGAATTGCCAACGGACTTCCGAGACAACGAACCGTAAAAGGCGTTCACAATGGCTTAAAACGGTTCTCTTGGTGTTGGGAAAAAACTTTGAACTTCTTACAAAATAAATAACTTTTTTTATGATTTGTTTTCTTTTCTTTTGGCTACACGTAAGATACACTGCACGCACACACATATACATGCACACACACATATACACATACATAAATTGATTTATATATATTCATGTATGAAGATAGATAAATGTATTTATATGTATATATGTACATGCACATATATATGTGTGTATATGTATGAACATACATATACATATGTTTGTATGTATATATATATATATATATATATATATATATATGTGCATACACAAATATATACGCATATATATTTAGATATGTGTTATATATATATCATATATACAAATATATATGTGGGTGTGTGTATGATAAACATATAGATATAAAGATAAAAAGACAAACTAATACATAAAGAGAGACAGATCTACACGTATATGTATATATATGCGTGCGTGTTGCCCTTCCTCTCTCTCTTCCATACCACCTCTTCTCCCTTTCCAGGTGGATTCCGAAACTGTAGTCTCAATTTCAATAAATCAAGTTTTTACATTGTGGGTTTTTCTACTATATATTTCTTACAAGATATCAAGGAAATGATAATGATCAAGAACATTGCAACTTCTAACAGTTTTACCCTCATGCTAAAGTTACCTGTATGATGAGGTGCAAACAATCCTTTATCTTTTATCAACCACGTCAGGACCTGGAGTTCATACTCATATATATTGGAAGACATAAGGATAATTGTAATGCCGTTTGGCTGTAGACGATTGCAGTCAAATCCAAATCAAAACAAATCTTGCTACTGATTTCAATCTTTAAAAGTATATCAGATCCGCGACCGTAGTTAAATAAAGGTTATTGCTATGAGATGGTGTTGCCAGGTGAGTCAGTGCTGGAGTTTTACTTTGATCAGTACAGTATACCCTTTCAGTTTTCGTGCTGGAGAAAGTAAACAAAGAGTACGGAAGGACAAGAAAACATGAATATGTTACACTCAATAAACATATCAAGTGTTATTCTAAACTCTAACACCCAGAATGTGATACAAAGAAACAGGCATACAGGGTTTAACACTAAAACAAGAAAACCAACAAACAGCAAGCATAGCAGATCACGAGAACCGTCTTTATGTTGGCATAAAAGGAATGGAAGCGTTACTTATAAAATCATCCTTAGTACAGAAGCAGCGGGTTACGTTTAGGATCATGATTAGGATCAGTAAACTTTAAAACGCTGTAGCTTTTTCAAAATGGAAAGACTAAATTTCATTCATTCGAAATTCATGGCTGTCCACTTGCGTGACTTCTTCGGTGCTGTGAAAGAATCGACTTGTATTTTTAAAAGATAAAACCGTCGTTTCGAATTTATGACATTCATTCATGGCGATGACCACTTACATATACTCGTTTATCTATCTCTATATATATACATAGACACAAGGGCACACACAAACACACTCATATACATATATATGTATATATGTGTATGTGTATGTGTTGCCATGGGTTTTATGAAAGCATAGATCAGGAAAAGTTTTCACCTTGCTTTGGTCTACTCTTTATATGTATATTATATTCTGTCACTTACTTTTTTTAAGATAAAAGAACAGCAACTGTCGTTTCGAATGTATGACATCCATTCTTGTCGATGGCCTCTCATATATACTCGTTTATTTATCTATATATATACACATAGACATAAGTGCACATACAAACACACACTCATACACATACATAAAAACACGCATGCACACATACGTATACATATATACATGTATGTATATATGTATATATGTGTGTGTATGTGTTGCCATGGGTTTTATGAAAGCATGGGTCTGGTAAAGTTTTCACTTTGCTTTGATTCCTTCTTTATTTGTAGATTATCTGTCACTTAGAACGTTTAATAAACAAATTTTAAATGAAATCTAAATTGCAATCGATGTTCTTCAGAGAGCAATGTCCTTGCTATGAAGACAGACGATAGGGATGAGGATGGCAGACTAACCGACCTTACAGGATATCCGAGACGACGCGAGCGTGGTGGGCGGGGCCACTGCTTGGCTATATAAGGTGGTCGCCGTCGACTTCGCTGCATCAGCCTCGTATTCCTCACCATGAAGGTAAAAAGTAGATATTTCTTTCTTTTCCCTGTTCTGTATAACTTATAATTCGATGATCTGATTCTAATTTTATACGCCACGCCTCGTATCCCTCACCATGAAGGTAAAGAGTAGAAAGATATTTTTTCTTATATATGTTTTGTATTACTTTTATTTCAGTGAATTTCCTTATCTTTAACCTTTTGCAGCTGGCATTAGCGATATTACTGTGTGTGGGCGCGGCCGTAAGAGTGGGAGCGCAGGATGGCTCCTACATGCTGGATTCACGAGGCGTGGAGGTGGAGCAGGGACTCCAGCCTTCCCCAGAACTCTTCCAGAACCACCAGGCCTTCTCCCAAGCCTTCAAAGAACGCTCTGAAGAGATGGCCCTGCAATACAGTCTTGGCCAAGTCGAATACAACGATCCAGTTAGTATCCTACTGCTTTGTTGATATGTATAGCAGATTTTCTCTATATCCATAAACCATTTTTTTTTATCACTTGATGTTGTCTTCAGAACCCGGAGTACGCTTGGGCTTACGAGGTCGACGCTAAATCCACCGGGGACATGAAGTCTGCCCGAGAGGAACGTCGAGGTGACGTGGTGGTGGGTCAGTACTCTGTCATGGACCCCGACGGGTCTCTGCGCGTGGTCGACTACTCGGTGGCTCCCGGCACAGGCTTCCAGGCCACCGTCCGCAAGGAGTACACGGGCGAGGCTTTCCAGGGACAGGAGCAGAGACTGCAGGCTCAGGCCAAGCAGTACAGTGCTATCCAACAGGGAAGCAACTACCAACAGAACCGCAACCAGTACCAGCAGAACAGTGGTCAGTACTCCCAGAACTACAATGAGTACCAACAGAATCGCAACCAGTACCAGCAGAACCGTGGCCAGTATCCACAGAACCGCAACCAGTACCGAGAGAACCGTGGCCAGTACTCACAGAACTACAATCAAAACCAACAGAACCGTAACCAGTACCAGTACTCACAAAATCGCAACCAGAACCTGGAAAGTAGACAATATTCTCAAAACCGCAATCAGTATCAACAAAACCGCAATCAGTACTCCCAGTACAGCAACGAGTACCAACAGAACCGCTATCAGAACCAGCAGAACAATGAGTACCAGCTAAACCCTATTCAGTATACTCGAAACCTCAACGAGTACCAACAGAACCGTAACCAGTTCCAGCAGAGCCTCAACCAGTACCAGCAGAACCGCAACCAGTTCCAGCAGAACCTCAACCAGTACCAGCAGGACCGCAACCGGTTCCAGCAGAACCGCAACCAGTACCAACAGAACCGCAACCAGTTCCAGCAGAACCGCAACCAGTTCCAGCAGAACCTCAACCAGTATCAACAGAACCGCAACCAGTTCCAGCAGAACCGCAACCAGTACCAGCAGAACCGCAACCAGTACCAACAGAACCGCAACCAGTTCCAGCAGAACCGCAACCAGTACCAACAGAACTATGACCAAAGCCTTTCCAGCCGCAACGATGTCAGGTACAACTTCCAGCGTTATGGAACCAACCGCTTCACTCAGAACCTGAACCGTCCTTCGCCCAGCCTCTACAGCCAGAACCAAAACTACCTTCTGACCCGCTATGGATCCGCTTCTCAGAACCAGTACAACAACCAGTACAACAACCGCGCCTACAACCAGTACAGCGCCCAAGTGAACAGGAACCAGCAGAACCAAGGTTACTCTCCCGTCAGCGTGGTTCTCGCTTCCTCAAGGAACTAACATGCGAACCGAATTGCCAACGGACTTCCTAGACAACGAACCGTAAAAGGCGTTCACAATGGCTCAAAACGGTTCTCTTGGTGTTGGGAAAAACTTCTTGAACAACTTGCAAAATAAATAATTTCTTTTGTATGAGTTCTTTTCTTTTCTTTCGAAGGAGTTCTGGTGCTCATCAATTCTGTACACCCGTTCAGGGGTTACGCTGAAAGAAATGTGAACAAAACGATGAAGGGAAGAGCAAGAAAACACGAATATGCAGAAGGCCCTGGAGAAGCAACACAGCGAAAAGGTCCTCGGCATAGTCGTGTGTTTTCTTGTTCTTCCCTTCATTCTTTGGTTTACTGTGCACCCGTGTTGAGTCACACAATATCAAATTCAGCTATGGATTAAAATGAAACTGTTATTTATAGGTCCTTGAATTTAGATAAATAATGCATATAATAATTCCATTCCTTGGTAATAACCTCCTCTGTTTAACTACGGTCGCGCTTCTGATGAACTTACAGAGATTGAGATCAGTGACAAGATGTTTGGATTTGGATTTTGGGTCAGTCACCATTTCCGTACAGATATTCTTCTATATTTAGAGAAGAAATATATATCCATATTATATTCATATTTATTTATGTCCCTATTTATGGGTATGAACTCCAGGTCACGACATGATGGATAAAAGGTAAATGGTACCTTTGTACTACATCGTTCTGGTAACATTAGCAATAGGTGTATATGTATATATACATATATATATATATATAATATATATATCTATATATATATATATATACATATATATATACATATATATAAAATATATAGATATATACAAATATATATACATATATGTATTTAATACATATATATATACATATACATATATATGTATATATGTGTGCGTGCGCGCGCGTCTATATGTATATATACATTCAGGCACACACAAACAAACGCAAACACACACTCAAACACACATACGTATATACGTACATATATAGTGTCTTTGTCTGTGTGTGTTTGCACACACACACATATACATAAATATATATCGACTCCCTGCTCACCAAGGTCC